TGCCTCTGCTTCTACTTCTGCTTCTGCTTCTGCTACTACTACTACTACTACTACCACCACCACCACCACGACCACGACGACTACTACTACTACTGCTGCTACTACTACTACTACTAGAGGAGTACTTAGGAAATGTGGGTGGCACTATCTGCAGACTCACAGCAGGAGGTGAAGTAAGTAGCAGCTACGTAGTAGCACTGGTGGCCCCCACAGACATTCCGGTGGGACCAGGACCGTTTACATTTGCGAAAGCGGGCCTGCAATGAAGCAATCGCTTTAAAAGTGTAGGAGACAGAAAAGCTGCTTGGCACTGGCTGTGTGTGAACTGGACGGTCTCCACTTGATAGTTATCTCATTGGAGTTTTGAGTTTAGTGCTTGATTAGGTGCTGAATCCCAGCTCCACACATCTTGTGGCACAAATCACCCAACGCGAGTATCCCCCTAAGATTGGACATTCTCGGTCCAGGTCGAATGCGCAAAATAGAGGGTGTGTTTTAGCACTGGGGGAGAGATGATCATTATATGTTTGAGCACGATGGCATGGTGGCAATCGCCCAGCTTGCCTGAGTGTTTGCTGTTTCGAACGAGCCCTTGATTCTTCATCCCGTGTATTTGCCCAGCCCCTTTTTTGCGTTTCCAGTGGACAAGGGAGGGAGTGTGGTACTACGTTTGCTTCCCCAATGTCTCCTTTGCACAACTTCTAGGCCAGACGTGGTGACACACAATGCCGCCATGGACGCCTGTAGCAAGGCAGGAAGCTTCACACATATTTCATGTTGGACATGCAGTCGCGGTTTAAAGAAGCCTTAGCCACCCCACATTCCCGTACCTTACCAGCAACGGCAACTTTCCACAAGCACAGACAGCTCCTTTGTCACGGTTTCAGAATGTGGACCCGCTACCATGCCAAGAGCGAGCCGCGTGAGCAAGCCCCATCTGCCATCCCGCACCGCCCCAACGATCCTTCCCTGTGTCGCTGCAAAGTTCTCGCAGAATTTCGTTAGGGTTCTCTTGCTTACTGGTCTACTCTGGTCGGCTCGAAGCTGTGCCATTGACGCTCAGCTTGTTCATCGAGGGTTCTGTGCCGGTCTCTTGATATCATTGCTCTACTCATGATGAGCTCTAAACTTGGATTCGTCCTTTAGAGGGTGTGCATGGTGTGCATATTCGACACCTTTCGAGTAAGTTGCTCAGCTCTTCGGCTAAGCCATGACACAGGCCCGGGACCAAGACGCCACAGAGGCGTTCTTTTTGCGTAACATCCCTGCGAAGTGCAATGCGGAAACCTTGCGCAACTTCCTCGAGTCAAAGGGTTTGACAAACTTCCAGATGGACATGGCTCTGTTTCCGAACGGCAAGTCGCGGGGCTATGCAGTGATCCGGGTCCGCGCCAGGTTCGCAGTGCAAAACGTTGTCGACAACATCCACGGCCAATTTATTCCTGGCTTTCACAAACCAGCTCCACTCTGCTGGGAGCCGTTGATGGACAGAGGGCCGCCGAGATGTGCTCAGTCCCCAAACTTCGTGCCGGCAGAAAGGCCGCAACCGTTGCCACTCGGGGCCTGTGGTCACTCGTATGAGTTTCGTGGCCACAACATCCTGGGCAAGGAGGGCACCTTCAAGGCACCAAAGGTACAGGCAGTGGCATCTTTGGCAACCACGGGGACAGGTGTTCCCAAGAGCGAGCCTGGACGTCAACTTCATACCCTTTGCAGTCTCGCAGACGGCACGGACACAGCTTTCGCTTTGCCGAGTCAGATGGCACCGATCGAGGCCACCATGGCAGGTAGGCAGGCATGTCTGGTCTTGAGACACGAGCCAGCTTGTACAATAATGCTTAGCGCTGAGGGGAAGATACATTACTGTCTGTAGGAGCATGGCAACACCTTTGCATTTGTCCAGAGCGTGTTTCGCGCAGTGTGGTGTATGGTAGTTTATGGATGTTCAATGACGGTTGTCTGGGTGTTCACCGAGGGTTTGGCCCTGTATAGTAGGAGCCGGAAAGTTGGAACAGAATTGTCCTCATGCCCTTAACGTAAAGGAAAGGGAATCCCAGCACTAATCAGCAATCCATGTTCCAACTTTCTCGGGCTCACTATAGGACCTTTATATCCTGGATTCTGGACTGCATGCTTTTACGTTTGAAAAGTCTGCCGGTTTGCAAAAGCTATACTTTTCTCGGCGACTGTTGAATCCTTTGAGCTTTCAAGAGCTCGGCCATTGGACAGATCGAATGCTGAACACGGTTTCAGCAGACTCATTTCAAGTATACGGCATATGGTAGCTTGCTTCTACTGCACGCAATCCGTCTAGAACGCGAGCCAGAAACTGGATCCGAGGCACAATTCGGGAGAATGCACACAATTCGAGTTGGTTCACTCCCTATCCGCACAGTCAGTGTGTCTAGGTCCGCCTCTGAACTCGGGTGAAACCATGGAGAAGGATTTATGAAAAATAGCTTGCAAATGCAGGCGAGCCCCTGGGCAGGGCAAGTGCACTGTCTCTTCCAATTCGGCTCTCTTTCAGTCAGCCAGCGACTACGTCAGAGCTGCTGCAAATCAAAAGATGGGAGCCGCCACGATAACCCCAACCGGACTTCTTAGGTTCTTCACGATGCTACGCCACAATGCTTCGGCCGCAACCCAGACAGAGCCCGAAGGCCTCACCTGGTTTCTATCTAGACAGGCACACACGGTTCCGATGTCATCCCCTCTTGAGCGACTGCATGAGCTGTTGACTGGCCAGGGCCAGCAATGGCAGCGCTGCCTGAATCTGTTGACGGCCTGTAGCTCAGACCAACCCCAGTCTGCTCGCTCCAGCGCGAGTCGGGGCATGTAGAACCCTAACCCCCCAGGTACCTACTATGTAGGGCCTTTGGGGCTCCAGTACCCTATATAGCAGGTACCTGGGGGGTTAGGGGAAGGTATGTTAGCGGAGGCTCTGCGAGCTCGCGAAGCGCCTGGCCATTGGCAATGTGGTCCAAACTTAACTCGGCTGCAGTGCATGGCAAAAGCTTCATGCTTGAGAATCCCAAAGGAGATGTTCCACAGCGTCCTATTTCCCACCACGATCTCATACAATATCGCCCTGGCCCCAGAGCGGGAAGAGCGGGGGAGGAAGGGGAGGTATCGTAGGTTTCCCAGGCGTAGAACGAAAGGCAGACAGAGACAGAGTCCGGAAGCGAAGCAGTATACTAGACTTGTAGATACCATCGCAATGTGCTAAGGCCATCACTGCCTGCGAGATGGGGACTGCGACTCAGCTGACGACATGTGAACTGCAGCACAGCCCCGATGCACACCCTCTCAGTTGGTTCACCAAGAGTGTGGGCGGCTTCTGAGGGACTTCCAAGATTTGAGAGATGAAGGGTCCATCTCCTTATCTCCTTGCGAAGGAATGCCTGAAGAAACGAATTAACAGGGCTGTACCCACAGGCCCCATAGTAGTTCCTTTTTGGGGTTCATATTTAGAATCCTATCAAGTAACCCCAAAAAGGAACTACTATGGGGCCCATGGGTAGACTCTGGCCGAGCATGTCCAGTCCCAACCAGGCCGGTCACACCTCTAGCTTCGCTGCGTCAGCTTCTAGGAGCTCCCATAGTAAAAAGGCCCCTGCCGGAATTGTCAGAAAAGCGCCGCAAGAGGGCGAGTAGCTGATCTGCATGAATCACAGCATCAGCTATGATGTGCTTGATACTCAGGCCATGGTCTTTAGTGTTGCATCTTCTAGATGAGCTTCGACAGCAAGGCGGGCTGCACACTGGACGTCCTGTTTCTTCGGCGAGGTCACATCTTTCGTTATGGTGTTCCAGCAGAAAGTGTGCCCTGGACGTCTATTGCTGACACCCTTTCAGATTCTACCAGTAGCTACCAGTAGCAACGAGATCTATGCCCCAGGCAGGCGGGTGTGGTTCAGAGAAGCAGCCGCTTTGAGCAAGATGCACGGCTGCGTCAGAACTGCACGCGTTGCCATCTCAAACATGATTTGCTGCGGAACTTCTCTCTCGGTAGGTTTACGCCCGAGAACGGACACCTACAACGCAGCCATGTCTGTTTGTGCCAAGGCCCGGCGGTCACATGTTTATGGCAAGCTGGGCCGAATCCCTGCAGTACGAGTAATCTCTGGGAGGGTCACAGTGTTAATGTTATCGCATGTTTTTCCTCGTACTCTTACCCATGCTTAACAACAATCAATCCTGTGATTGAGACGCAACACAGCGTCCCTCGCTTCCCTACTGCGACGGGTGCCTAGACCAGTAGGCAAACGGTATACACAAGGTGTACATATCGATGTGATGTGGACTTGAGAGGCCCATCAGACGCAGATGGCATTACAGCTGCTGCTGGGACCTGAGATTCTCGGAGCAGAGAGGCCTTATGATCCATGCGCCCTCTCAGCGAAAGAACTCTGAGCATTGTTGGTCCTTCCCTTGTGCGGTCCTTTCGCTTGCGATGTCTGGATGCCTAGCCCGGTGTTGCTTGTCCAGGTATGGCCTTCGCCGGAGGCAGCTGAGGTGCCCCAATACTTAGAGGATCATGAGACTTAGTAACTAGGGTTATAAATAAGGTAACTATACTTACAAGTAGTTATAACCCTAACTAAAGTAGTTATAACCTTCCTTACTAAGTCCCATGATCCTCCAAGTACCATTCTCATCCGGGCTCGGGGGGGGTTGGGCAGCTTAGCATCAACACGAGGGTCATCGCAGTTTTGGAGGCAGTGCTTTGTTGAACTGTCCTGCATGCCTGGAGGCAGCACCAAGTCACCTTCAACACGGCCATAGATGCTTGCGTCCGCATCTCGGCGAACCTCTTCAATTTTTTGAGGGGGAGCATGATGCCCCGACTCCACTGGAACATGCAGACTCGCGCAGTCACTCGAACTCATATCTCAACATCGCCCACCCTTGCAGTGAATATGTAGCCCCAAACTTAAAAGAACTCTTACTCTTACCAATCAGCCGCCCTTTGTCAGGCCAAGACGCAGCAGTGGCAGCAGTCCTTGACCCTCCTTGGCGAGATGTGGGGCAGCCTAGGGCCAGCTCGAGCGGTGTTTTCGGAGGCTCAGAGCAATTTCGGGCCCGACTGAGTTCAGGACCCGGGAAATGCAGTCTCCTTCTCTCTTGGGACAGGGAGACAGACATTCAACCCTAGAGTAGATGCGCTTAACCAGGAAGTGCTAAAAGGGCTTGAGACGCAGGTCCGTATGGGGAAGATGTGAGAAGCTGAAAAAGATAATGAAGGGGCCTAAATAAATACCTCTACTAGTTTGGGGGGGTTCCTTATTATGATAATATAGTATCATGGGCCCCCAAAACCCTATTCTAATTATGAGGGCCCCTATATTAAGCATGACGTCAACGACCTAGTCTCCTAAGGCCCTCCTTGTAAGCTTCGACCTTGTGGCGCACCTTAGGTCTTCGGGAGAGGTTTTAATATAGGGGCCTTAGTAATTAGAATGGGGTTTTTGGGGCCCATTGTACTATAATTATATCATAAGGAACCCCCCAAAATACTATAATATAGGGGCCTTAGTAATTAGAATGGGGTTTTGGGGGCCAAGTGTACTATAATTATCAGAAGGAACCCCCCAGAATACTATTGGCAATTTTTCAGGCCCCTACATGAACCATCAAGAATCGTGTTCACTCTCCGAGGTCGGACGCCGCTCTGCAGCCGGACGTAGTGTCCTTCAGCTCGGCCATGACAGCCCCCGTGCGGCGGTGAGATTATTTCAGGGTCGGGTGCTGAACCTATCATCTGCCTTCACTTGAGCGGATCCTACGGTTAGAAGCCCAATGTAGAAGCCTGAATAATTGCCCCTAAACCCTAAACCCTATCATTCCGTAAAGTCTACGCACCCGGGTCAGAAGATACAGAGGAGAGCTTCCACAGCACAGCACGGGGAAAATCCACACCACCGAGACAGCAAATGGTCCCAGAGTCAGCCGAGTCCGTCAGCTGATTCTTTAGCTCAACCCTAAACCCTAAACCCTAACTTCAGGCGCCCTAAGCTTTCGAAGTTGACTGCTCCGAGGAAACGTCGTGCATTGAAAGAAGTCAATGCCCCAGGAACCCTTCGAAGCCCTTTATTCCCTCAACCTGCCCTTGAACCCCGCCACAGAAAGGATCGAGGCTTCAGGATGGGCTTAGCAAACCATAATATACAGTAGGTAGGGACTTTGATAATTAGAACATCTTCTAGGTACAACAAGGAGCTCTTTGAATCATTCATGTCGCTTTTGCCCTCAAGGCCTTGTCTCGGCAGTCACTTCACGCGCAGGCGTGGGGGCTGCTGGAGGAGCAACTCCCATCTTCCGGGTAGTCTTGTAATGAATGGGCATGCGTCAATCGAACTCCACTTTCTTCCTGTTTGCTAGAAGAGTTTGACATGTAATTCGTGGTACTGCTTGTCGATGTGGCGGTGAAAGGCAAGAGCAGCCCCAAGCTGCCAACGGCGTAGCGTATGTGTAGATCTCTCACGTGGCAGACGTCTTTGTTTTCGTGTTAGTGTGTTTTGTAAGCTTACTTGCTGCACTGGCAGGACCTGCCCCGGCATTCTCTTCAGCCAAATCTGGTGATCTTCAATGCAGCGCGGCATCCCAGAAGTATGGGCTCAAAATAGCATCCCCGAGCTTTGAGGAGGAGGAGGAAGAGGTCTAGGTAAAAATATAGCCCCTTCGGAACATGCTCGTCCTCTCTGCTGGCCGTCACCCACGGATACTGTGAGTTGAGATCGGGCTCTATAGGCGACCTCAAGGCTTTAATCGTAAACCCATAGACTGGCTTTCGAGATTCCGGAGAGCTTCAAACGACTGGGAGGAACGAGGCATGTTGCCTTGAACCGATTTGGTAGGGTTAGGGTTTAGGGTTTAGGGGTTTTGGTAGGGTCATGATGCACTCAAGCTGCACTCAGGCCATAGGCTCATGCCACCGGGGCGCTTCCTGGCAGGCACTTGACATCTGAAAGGTTTGGGGTTTCGGGTTGACGGCTTCGAGTCAGCTCCAGATTGAGACTGCAACGTAATTTACTGTAAAAAAACAAAAACTACAATATAATATTATACTATATCAAGTTATATTTCAATATAGTAGAATCTGCGGAGCTCAGGACTTTAAACTGCACGATCCGGCGGGAGAAGCTAGTAGCATGAAGCTTTCAGTTATCGGCCGAGAAGTCTCACGAAACACAACCTACTACTCGGGGAATACACCGTCAGATATGCCATGTGAGATACAGCTGGGTAGGTAGGAAAAAACGTTATGTAGAGATCAGCGGAGTAGAAGGTGTCGTTGTGGGGACTCGGGCGAGAACCACAAACTGCATCGACGAAGTCATACTGTGAAGGACGACAAAATCTCGATGCAGTCCCTAAAGGCCGCCCTGATGCTGCTGCAGCGGGCCAGGAATCAGTCTGTGCCGCCTTGCACTCAGTTTGATGGCCAAAGTCAGGACAAGCGTGCAGGCTTGTGGATGCTCGTATAAGGTTTATATGACGAAGAGATCTGGCACATTCCTGACCTCCCAAAACACCCTTGCACTTCTCCCGAGCCGAAGCTGTGGGTTGGAGGATGAAATGCAACACCCAAGTCGGGATCAAGACTGCCCCACCAGACAGTGAGAGAGCCGCCCAGACCCAGCCCAAAACGCCCTAAACCCTAAGCCCCTGAACGAGCCAAATCCGCTACAGGCTGGACGTAGTTTCCCACAGCCTCGCCGTGAGCACTTGCGCCCGGCGGCCTGGGTTTTCCGGTGCGATCGTTTTAAAACAGTTCTTCCATCATGCTCGGGGCACAGCTTCTGTTCGAAAGTTCTACAAGTCTACATTAGACGCTGTATATATATATATATATACACACACACATACATGTACATATACACATATACATACATATATATATATATATATATATATATCTGTATATGTGTATATATATATATATGTATTTCTTTGTTTATTTATCATCTGTGTAACTAGGGCAGCATGCTTAGAGCATGACGGCTTGCGTAGAGAATTCACAGGACCCGCCAGGCCAGGGCTGCGCAGAGTGTCCCTCGTGGCACGCTCTGACCACATCAGTTTATGTCTGTTTTTTATGTATAAATTACATATATTGTTGGTCCTTGAGCTACAATGGTATTGAAGAGTACGACAGCATAACTTAGCAATGTGATTATACTGTAGTATTGTAGTACGAGTACTTTTATGCCTTCTCAGGTCGCTTCCTCGCAGCCAGGCATTGCCTCGGCCTTGACGGGACCTCAGAAAGCAGGGGCTCTCCAGGCTTTTCTGGCGGTCACCGGTAACTTCCCATAGGCCCCATAGTAGTTCCTTTTTTGGGACTACCTTATAGGATTCTATACATGAACCCCAAAAGGGAACTACTCTAGGGCCTATGGGTTGTTGCATCGTGTGAGAAGCCTCAAGAGCCGGGTCAAGTTGGATTCGATGGACGACTGCCGATTTTGGAGAACTCGTGTTGTAGCGAACCTAGGACCTTGAAGAGAGTTGAGCTGGACAAGAACTGTTTCTATTTGCCTGTGCAGATTCCTATGAAGGCACTTCTCTTCAGTCGCAATTTCTTCACATAGGGTTGCATGAGCACTGTTCGGTATGGTATGTTGGACACATCGAGGTGGGGTTTGTTCCCAGATGCTTTTCTAGAGGCGAACCCTTGCCTACTGCTTACCCCAGGATTCCAGGCGCAGGTGCCTACCGGCCTCTGAGGTTGGAGGGGATGCGGCAGCTCAATTTGCAGCACGGGAGCCTAGAAGCAAAGCCCAGCTGTCGACCGTTCTTGGCCATGCTATACATTCGGAGTTTGGAGCTTCTGTTTCGGATTTTTTGGCTTGTTCCCAAAGTCACCTGAGCTTTTCGGCTTGTGGGGTCAAAGACTATAGACTAAGAAGCCTCAAGCTTTCAGGCTTGCGGGCATCAGCCTGCCTGTAAGTTTGCTTGAAGTGCTCACTGCTTGCAGCTGGGCGATACACCTGAAGTATCATAACGGCTGCCTCAGAGTGTCGACAACACGAAGCTACGCAAAGCATGCTGCTACGGCAGCCCAGGCCCGACGAAGCAGCCTACGTTGGCATGTTGGATGCATGCAAGGCCAGGCACCATCGGCGTCGTGCCTGGACTTGCTCTGTAATTAACGTGTACGTGTGGAGCTTAAGACGTTCAAGATGGGACACGGTATGGGAAGCTTTCGTTTTTGAGGGTTCTCCCAGCCTGAATCTCAGAGCCGAGTCTGGAGGAGTCTGACCGGCTAAAATGCATTAGCGGCAGCCACTGGTTATGGCAAGGTTATTTTTGCTGTTGAGAGTCTCAACAAGATTCTGTCTTTCGCACACCAGAGTTTGCTGTCTTGTTTGGTAACCTCTCGTAACAGCATTCCGTTCCACCGTGCTCACAGGGTTTGAGCGTTCAGCGAAGCCTTCATCACGGCCGGTCGGAAGTCAGGGAAAAAGGGCCCTCCCAAGGCAATGAAAGCTCCAAGGGCTCCGCCATCATCAGGAGGCCGGCTGCTGGGCCTTGGCCCTGAGCATCCTCGAGGAGCTCCGACGAGGCGGGAAGTTCGGCTTAGATGGTAGCAGACCCTAACCCCCCAGGTACCTACTATATAGGTTACTAGAGCCCCTAGGGCCCTATATGGTAGGTACCTGGGGGGTTAGGGAGAAGGATCACGTGATCATGGCGGGGAAGGCAAGGGTGAAGTGTGTCTATCTATCTGTCTGTCTACTTATGTAATCTACCTGCCCACCCATCTATGTATCTATGTCTGTTTATATCCATCTACGTCTGTCTGTTTATGTCTTTAGAAATACATACACATACATCTGTATCTGTCTGTCACACAGTCACATCCACATGATCAGGCAGATGGATGCAAAGAGGGAGAGATGCAGAAACGTAGTAAGCACAAGACTCAGCTTATCCCGTCAGCTTTGGCAACTGTTGACCGAACCGTTCCGCCTGCAGATGGCGCGCAGTCACAAACGTGCAGGTCTCAGTAAAGCCACGTGTGGTTTCTCAGTTTGGCGATTTGGCCGTCGAGCTGTCTTGTGCATTTTCATGAACGTCTACGAGATGACCTGCTGCAGCATTCTACACGTGTTGAAAGCTTTACCTCAGAGGATTGAAATGCTGGCACAAGGTCCGACCAGACGGCCTATGCTTTGTCCCTTGGCTCCTGTGAGGCTGCAATGCAGTGGGTGCCGCGGCAGCACCAGACTTCTTGGAGCATGGGGATGTCTCAGGTTCCGGGCTGAGGGTGGACAAAGCGTGGCATGGAGCCATCTCAGACGGATAATAAATGTGGGGGAGACATGAACACATGGAAACGACGAGTAAGGAAATACTCCTACTTGGTACCTGCCACCTTGCGACCCTGCTTGAAAAGTTGGGTTGTTGCGCATGAATGTAAAGTCTCTTCAGACTGGTGATGTCAATTGAATACTGGTAGAATACATGCATGCATGCATGCATGCACATGGGCGGGTGGGTGTCGATGCGTTCATACAAATGCAGAGGTGGTTGAATGGGGTCCAGGGCTCAGCCCTGGACGCGTGGAAACCACGAGAGGTATGATCACCTGCCTCCTTCGGTCCTGTTGGGGGTTCTGCAGAAAAGATATGCCAAGCAACCATTCATGGTGGGCCTGCGCTAATCTTGCGAGTATTCTTGTGCTTGCTCGTATGACTGACATGTGTTAGCGACTTTTAGCGTCCTGGCTCTTCGTATCTTACTACTTCAGTCAGTGGTGCTTCCATGCCGAGTTTCATACTGTTCCTACCAGTCTTGTCGGCTACCGGCTTCCATTCCGGCATCAGTGCTCAGCAGAAGGAGCCAGAACCACTGCAGCTGATCCTCCAAGCCTTTTCCACCCTAGCCCCAAGCATGCTCAACATTTACGGACATGGACATAGTTTGCATGTATGCGCAGAACCTCCTCAAAATACATACGCAATGGTTACGAGCTGTCTACGACCCTGGAGGGTACAGCCTACGACAACAGTAGTGAGTGTAGAGAGTGCTGTCAATCATGCATATTCGCTACATCATGCGGCCTAGAGCCTGGAGGAAAGCTACATGTTTTGAAGACATGGACTTGGACTTCGCGTGTATGGCAGCGGGACCTAGACCAACCTCAATCTCAATGCCTTTTCCGTCGTTTCGGCAACGTCTTCGCCTTCCAGGTTGTGACACGCTGGGAATCTCAACGAGTGAGCTTTCTGTATTATGCACTGCGTAGTTACTTGTAGGTTGATGGATGCAAACACACAACTTGCTGTACAGAGCCCCTCTTCAGGACTTTCTCTAATGATCCAATTTTTGACGGATATTTTTTTCCGCATCTTGTTCTGTAAACTCATAGATGCGTGGCCGAGGAGTTGGCGCTGTCGGTTCTCGCAGCGGGCCGAACTGTTCAGGACTTTAGGATTTGGCGTTGATGGTTTGGGACGGTGGCTTTGGAGATTGAGATTTCAAAGCTGGGGATCTAGAGTTATGTTTTCGGGGCCGGAGAAGCCTTCATCTTGCTTGATTTCAAACACCAGGGGGCAGTCCTTCTCAAGAGTTATTATTGGAGTGCAGTGAACCACTCGTTTGGTTTCTGTTGTTCACTGCAGGCAGGAATTCATCGAACAGCGAGTAAATCCTCATCGCGCAAGACGTGTTTTCTTCCGGCTCTTCTTCTCCAAGGCCACGATGCAACAGGAAGGGCCGTCTCCCAATCTGGTGCTTTGGCTTCAATTTTGAATCGGTAGGATCAGTGGTGTTCACAGCTTGATATTAAAGACAACCAAGCCAAGCAAAGCCCTCTTGAAATTGATCGACCCGGGTCTCACTACGAGTGGTTCTTGCAACACAGTCACTCGGACATCAGAAGAAAGACATCAGAAGAAATTCTGGTCGCCAACAAAATTTCAACCCAAAATATGGTGAATGGTAAGCACCAAGCCATTGCCGATTGGGACATCAGGGATAGTGGTGTCGCAAGCTCGAAACCTTGAAAAGCTTAAACGCTTAAACTCAACGCTACAAAAGGCGTCGCGAAGCTAGTGTTGGAAGTGCGGTGCCGTCACTTTCAGACAGTATAGCCGAGCGGCACTGGCCATCTCGTCTGTTCTACCTTTGCAAAGTGCCTGGTTGCTGTTGCATCTTATTCCCATGTCTTGATTGATGTGTCGATCTTTCCCGCACGTCGCGAGTTGGATGGCCTTTACCAGCCGCAACTTCCGAAGGAGTGGGAGGGCACGGAATCAAGAGGCGTGTGTGGGCTACAGTACATCTCATAAGTCAGGTGACATTGAATGCAGCCGTGATGGCGCTGGCCGCGGCTGGGCGCACCGCAGAAGCACTCTGCGTAGTGCGCCACGCTGAGGCATCGTGCTGCGGTTGGGTCCCGGGGATTCGAGGCGGAAAAAAGCAGGCATCGGGTTCGGAACCACAAGCCTGGGACTTGCATCAAGAACCGGCGAGGTGAGTACTCGGAATCATGCAAAGCTCTCCCAAGCTCCGAAGTTGCAGATCTTGCCGCCAGAAGAGAAAGAGCACTGCAGAATTTTGTGTGTGCTTGCAGGAACTACAGAATGGTGCCAATATGCCCGAGCAGCAGCAGCAGCAGCAGCAGCAGCAGTCATCAGCTTCGTTGTAGCAGTACCATTAGCAATCATTAGCAACACGCCCATTCACGGCAATGGCATGAGCGTCTTGCAACAGGGTCAGCATACCTCTGACTTCGCAGTTCCCTTATGAAGCACTTTTTTAATTTTCAATGGTCCTAAACCCTAAACCCTAAACCCTAAACATGAACCCTGAAATTATAATTGGTTCCCACCCTCTCCAGTCGTGCAGGATCTGGGCCTCGTCTCTGGCGCCTGGGAGGCGGATGCCAATCCAAGGCTTCCGGAGGCCTTCGTCCTCTTTGTTTCGTGCTTTCCCTAACCCCGCAGGTACCTACCACCCTTGTCCTTATTCATGGGTTCCCCCCAAAATAGACAGATCGGTAGTAGACCTCCTTTAAGGGGTCCCCATTATGGAATATAGCAATAGGGCTCTGTCTATTATTTCAAAAAGGACAAGGCAGGTACCTACTATATAGGGCCTAGTAACCTATGTAGCAGGTACCTGGGGGGTTTAGGGATTATTGGAGCCTTCACAAACTTTAGGTGTTAGGGTTAACTTCAGGGCTTCAAGGCGGATAAAGTGTACACGGTATGCGGATTGTGGGGCTCGGGGTTTCGGGTGTAGGGTTCAGGGAGTTTGGGTTTTCTGAGCCGGTGTAGGATTCATGGTTGCGGGTTTAGGGTTGAGGTTTACAGCCATACTCAATATCAATATCGAATAGCCAGTTGGTCACTAGGCATCATCATCAGCAGCAGCACCAGCATCACAGTCACCGCCATCACCATCAGAACAAGTGACGAAAACAGCAGCAGCACTGACGGTAGCTCACACCACCAAACAGACTGGAAGCCAGGGTCCATCGATCGTTGCAGCTCTTCCTTGGACTTGTAGTGCCAGCCTGGTCATCCGCACTATGGATAGGCTCATTATGAGGGGCTTTGTACCCCTGAGCCTGAAGCCCCAGGGCATGACCCGGCCCTGTGAAAGGCCGACGTAGACCTGCACCGCTTTCCGGCGGACTCTTGACTTCAGGTCAGGGGGGGTTGGGGGAAGGAACCCCAATTTCCCAGGTACCTACTATATAGGTTACTGCAGCCCCTAGGGCCCTATATAGTAGGTACCTGCAAAGTTAGGGGACGGAGGATCGGCAGATCGTGTGAAGGAAGCTGGAGAGCTCGAGCATTCTGAAGGCTCAGGATTTTGGGTTCTGGGCTCTTTGGGCTGCAGCTCGAGGCCTAGAGCTTCCCTGGCTTTCCTCTCTTTTCTGCAACGGCAACGTGGCACAGAAGAGATGTCGATGTAACGAGATCTGGTACACTACCTGGTACACGTGAGTTTACCAGGTTCTCAGTCGCACCGTCTCTTCATGAATGGCATCGCTGTGCATCAGGCTTTAAGAGCAAACAAATTTAAGGACGGAGGATTCCCACAGTACTGATTGACAAATCTCGATCGTGTACGGCAGCCCTCCCGACGAAAGACTGCGGCTAGCCATGGCCTGAATCCAAATCAGTAGATGAAGTTCAAAAATCTCTTCGTACTGAAGCCGATGACACCCGTCTGGCTGATGCTTGGATTTCGGATCTTGCGCACGGACACCCGGCCACCGCGAACTCTTTCCTTGCCATCTTGCATAGGCACCGAAGTGCATATTCTTTCCAGTTTCTCGAACAATTCTAAAGTGAGCTCCATACTTGGTAAAGATTGGGACTGGAGCCCATCTGATATTTCCGCTCTTCCTCCAGTCATACGTCATATGTCTGATGTGGAGCTCGCTGTGCGGGATTCCGCGTGCTTGTGGCATGAAGGACGGCCTGGTCGGTAGGGGATCAGAGTTTGAGTCTGCGAACCGCTCCAAGGAGCTAGCAAGATTCGCCGTTCTTGCAGCGGTCCTTGACGCGGCCATTGATCCATCCCGGAAACGCGGTGCTTCGGCAGCAGCTGAGTTTGGTGTTCGTCAACAAGTAGGCCCGTGATCTCACTGAATCATGTACCCTAAACCCTAAACCCTAAACCCTAAACCCTAAACCCTAATCATGGAGCAGCTCTGGTACCTTTGATTCTCGGACATATGGGTAGTTCTCTAAATTAGGGTCCCTTGTTAGGTCCCCAATATAGTACGGCACCCTTGTAAAAAGGACCCTGAAAGGGACCCTAATTTAGAAAACTACCCATATTGCATCACCGGCCGACCAGGAATGTTTCGGGATGCACAGCATAAGAAGAAGAGAGTCAGCGTCAGCGGGAGTAAGACACATCTCTCGAGCTCCGGCAAAACCTTGAACCCCTTGCTCTACCCATAGGCCCCATAGTAGTTCCTTTTTGGGGTTACCTTATAGGATTCTATATATATAACCCCCCCCCCAAAAAAAAAGGAACTACTTTAGGGCCGAAAGGGTAGCAGCTTTGGAGTTCCTTGGAAGGCCTCAGGGCTTTCCTCCCAGGTCTTGTCTTCGTCACCGGTCGTGGCACCCACGGTGGCACGGCGGTCGGCGGCTCGAATCTCCACAAAGCTGCTGTAGGAGGAAGGCTTGGGTCGAACGAACTCTTAAGGTCTTGAAGGCCGTGGTAGGGGAGTGCCTCAAAGACTTCGGGCTGGCCGTGGAGGACCGTTGCTCATCGAAATCTGGTACCAATCTTCCAACTTCATGTCTTGCCTCAGTGTATGCATGGGTCTTGCCGTTGAAGCCACATCTCGCGGAACGGTCAGTGATCCTAGGTGCACTTTTTTTGGTAGAGCATGCAGCGCACTCATGCGGCAGAGACCGTTCATGACAGGAGGGTGATGCTGAGGGAACCGATGGGCGTTTGTGGCTCCCGCCACACGTCCTGCAGTGCATCGCTTCTGAGGTCGAAAAATGGACTTGAAATGGGTGTATGCAGGGAGATGACCGCCGGCACCGCCAACGTCCAAAGCACGCTTCTGTACCGTCATCCTGCGAGAAGCTTCTTCTGACCGCCACAAACAGACGTCCTTACGAGCCAAGGGCCAAGCATCATGACATGGAACTTCTTTTGGAAGCAGAACGCATCAACAGGTGCTGGATGCCCACTTTAACATCAAGGTCTGCGACTTCGGAAAGACGCAGGTGATCTTGGGCTTGAACCTGTGATCTTTGAACGTGCTTCAGGGTTTCTGCCAGGTACCTACTATGTAGGGGTTTAGGGGCTCTAGGTGGAAAAATACTGCCGAAAGGGCCGTTCGGATTCACGGAGATCTTCGTGCTCCGAGGTTTTGCTTCATCATTTGAACCTGAGACCATCTGTCTTGAAGTAAGGACCACAATAAGTCTTGCAATGACGACGCACAGGAGCTGCGAAGCAACTGTGCCATCATCACGGGCCAGGTGCGGCTTCATGAAGTTGGCAGTGTCTAGAGGTAGTTCAAGGGTATCCGGGTTTTGAGGCAACCACAAGGCGGACTCCAATCTCACCGGCTGCCGTTGTGAATTTCTTTTCAACTTTCTGTACATCAGGCAAGTTTCTGTTGTAGGTGTGGGACTCGCCATCTCGGGCTCGGAGCTGTTGATACTGTCCTTCCAAGCCACGCAGGACACGGGAGGCTCCCCCCGATACATGGCGCCTGAGTGCCTTGCCAGCAGATTGGGTCCTGCCAAGTTTCGACGGTTGCCCAACCATCCTCATGAGTTTTTAGCAAATGGTGTTCCACATTCTATACCAGCTGCAACCTTTGCTCGAAGCACCAAGAAGATGAGGAAGTGTGCAAACCAACCGACTTGGTTGACCGTCCCAGGTGCTTTATGCTCGGCGCACACATCACCGAGAAGGCCAGGACCGGTGACTTCGAGGTCTCTAGTGCCCCAGGTGCTTGGAGATGCCAAGTCTCGTCCTAAAGTCAGACCTTCGATTATCCTAACCCCCCAGGTACCTACTATATAGGGTTCTAGGGGCTCTAGTACCCTCTATGGTAGGAATACCCTAACCCCCAGGTACCTACTACACAGGTTACTAGAGCCCCTAGGGCCCTA